TTTGTTGAATGTATGTCTTGTCATGTTGGCGTTTGCAACTTCCACTGCGTACGCCGGTATCTGGCGCCATTGTTGAGGAGCATCACCCGATGCATATGCTTTTGAAGGCCGGGCTTCAACGATGAAGTCTTGGTTGATTGGTAAACCGGAAGGAGCTTGGTAAACTTCGATAGTATTTGATGCCATCTTGTCAAACACAGAGCGCACCGTGGGTATTCGTGGATAGTGAGGAGAGGTGCCAATGAAACAGCGTGAGTCTATTGACTTGGGCAGAAAGAGTAAGTAAAGTCTGTTTTATTGCACTCAGGGAACTTCAATCGCTTGAAGATCATACGTTCTAGCGGAGAAACCTGCGGAGAAGGGCGTCCTTTGAAGGGTACTCGTAATAGTTCTTGAAGTCTAGGGGATGATGGAACGAGGGTTTTTGAGCTAAGTATTGGTATCCCTATCACAGGGATATTGGTCGATTGGTTCGAACCGTGGTTTTGACGAAGTAGGTCAATTGACTATAAATCTATACTGCTGCGTAGGTGTAAAAAGGAGGTTCCAACCGTAGGTTGGGCAGGCTGCGATAATCGTAAATAGGGCCCCTAATTGGCCCCTGCGCAGTCGGTCGTACGCCGCGGTCGAATTGGACTTCCAATCCGACACTAAGGTAGGTCTCTTCCTCGCCTCTGAAGCCGGGCCATCTCTCGGAATAGCTCCGCAGATTGCTCCCAAGCCCTGCTGATGTAATGTTGTAGAGCCAGAGTCAGCCCGCGTCTCCGTAGTGTTCTTCGAAAACGCAAAGGTCAAGTAGAAAATAAAAACGCGGTGATCGTCTCTTTTTGGTTCACATGTTAATCCACGTTTCCCGGCTTTCCCCGGCTTTTTCTCCAGCTTTTTGCACAAGGTTTATGATTCCCTTGCCTGTCCAAGGTCCTACTGGATATGCCCATAACAGAATTTCCTTCGGAGGGAACAAACTTATCGAAAATGTTGTCAAACAACACCATCGAGGTCTCCGGTTGTGTTTAATGCGCCTTCGGTGGTGTATTATCATAGTCTCACCTTACCAAAGCGCCAAGCCTGTCAGACATCGTGGAGAAACTTTGAGAACCTTCGACATTGAAATTAATGTCCGACACTTTAAATCAACTGCACATTGTGCTATCATCACCGGCATGCTCTCGAAGTCTTTTTAGTGCCTCGCAAAACTTGATCCCACAAGGGGGAACCGAGTAGACCGTATGCAATGTACAAAGACTTTGCTGATTTGTTCGTATGCGATGATTTTCGATGGAGATATGTATCTAGGAATCTAGGTATCTTGGGCTCAGTCGTAACTATGGTGGTACTTGTGAGAAAGTCTTAGGCTGGCAGCGGCTCAGGGGATTAGCCAGGCAAAATCAGAATTTGCGCCGTCAAAGAACTGTTCAGAGTGTCTTGATACTTCACCTGTAATCAACGTCTCTGTTTGGTTCTACTGTGATGAGTTTCGAAAGGGCTTGCGCGGCCCATGCCATTTGCTGAGGTTGTAGGTGGATTTTGCTATGACTCGATATTATCGTGATGTGGGTGAGATTGGGACCCGTGGCAGTCATGAATGTAGACGGAAGTGGCCCGCCCATACAATTCACACAGCCTTCAGTTCTCGCTGATCATTTCGCAACCATTGAAGCTTCTCAGAGCATGTTTCTAGTGAGAGATCAGCGAAGATCGGGCCACTATGGAATGGAACATCCGGAACATCGGCTGTCCGCAAAGTAATTGATCTGTAAGGCGAAATCGCATTTCGCCCGATTTCCCGTCCTACTGTAACGAAACAAACCTGTTGTTCTACCACGATTCTTTATCAAAGCAGACGAGTCATTGTTATTCCAGGAACCAAACTCAAATTGATTGAAGGCAAAGTACGGAATTATAGCCGCCGTTTAGTACGTCTTCGACAGACCTTCTGGCCAAAGCTATAAGTTGAGTGGTGTACAATGAACCGTGGTAAGGCTTTTGCTCGAACTTCACGGCCTTCTTATTAAGTACTGATTACCTACTTATCTCAATTGCTTACGCTATCCTACTATCCACAATGAAGGGAGGCATTTTCTTCGTGTTCATATCACTGGCTACTGCGGCTCTGGTCGCAAAAGACCCCTCAGGCTCAAAGGTTGTCCGGGGGCACCCCCATCCAGTCCGCGATGCCCCCCAAGAGTGTTGCTCGATGAGTTCGTCAGGATGTGTACGCCATTCTACACCCATGCTACTGTGTCTCAATCGCTAATAGATCGTCTTTGTAGACTTGCGTGGCGTACACTGTTGCGGTTCGTACTATGCGGGAATCAAGTCACTCTACCACTGCAAAGCTGATACCTTTACAGGAATGCGTTAAAGGATATTGTTTCTAAGGTCTCTTTCAAATCTTGATGTCTTGAGGCCACCCTTGCTATTAGGACCCTGATTTCAAAGATACACGCTCTCGAGGAACACAGACTCGCAGGCTGGGTCCGCTAGAAAAAGAAACAGCCCAAATGTGCAGTCCGTCTACTCGTGCTTATACGTTTTTCCCATAATGAGTCAGTCAACATATTAGAGAGAATAATAGCAGAACCACTTGAGCGATTCTAGTGAGGATCAAACTTGACATTTGTCTCCGGGCTCATAGGAGCGAGATAATACCGCTTTCTGAGATATGCACGGAAGTAAGGTGGTTATCGGTCGATTTCACGTGAGACTCAAGTGACCTCTATCCATTGCGGTAGCCAACATCACGCTTAGAGGCTACCGTTGGCGTTGGACTAGCTAGAAGTCTATTCTTTGCCATGAATATGTCAGGTGAGACGTGTGAAAGTTTACCACGCATGATTCGGGCGACGATTCACCGCAAGGCAAAATCGGCATTCTACTTCACGCCCTATTGGCAATTTCAACATGCTGTGGGGGCGGGACCCAAGCCAGCCGGCGGGATGCCTTCGGCTATGCCGCTATGTAATATAAGGGCCATTAGGTACCAACATCATGCTTCTGGTTCATTCTGGTCAGTTCTCAACGCATGGTCACTCAGTCAATAATGGCTTCAACTATCCGTATTTCTTCAGTAAACAGCTAGTGCAAGGCTGCAAAGCCTATGACATCATCTCGGTCAGTCTAAAATCCAGTCCAGGAATCAACCGGCTATTTCATCGCTAGATGTTAGTATTCTGAGAGCTGAAAGATCGAAGATCAAACGTAAGTAGCTCTCAGCGGTTGGTAACCTCCCATTCTCATCGCGTTGACAAGCTCTTTGACGATTTCGTCACGTAGCGTTCATCCCGCTTAATTCAATTCCGCCTGACAGATACGTTTGTAACCTCCATTTGCGGAACGTATATCCATTTCAACCATGGCCAGCTTCAGTTGATATGCAGAGAGACCATGTAGGTAATGCCGTCCGGATGTCTTCATATATATGCTCTCGGGGGGTGGGGGGGTCAAGTGCAAAGGCATCTTGCGTTGAGAGTCATGGCGACCCGATTAACCCCAGAAGCCGGCGGGAGACTTTGCCAGCATACTCAGCCCGCTATAATTGCATTACTTTAAGATTGAACATACGTCGATCTCTATTACTGAGTCCCGAATTGAGCCGGAAGTCAGAGCAAATGGCACTTTCGTAATGTGTCGTTGACTCATCTGAAAAATGACGTTAAGATTCTTGCAGCCGAGCTTGCATGTCACAAAACCTGGAGTTGGATGGCCGTAACATCTCCCCCCGCAAACCCACATGAGGCGCTGCAAACGTAACTAAAGTTATTCTACTGCCGACGACGGACATGGATTTGGACTTTCAGTCCAAATTCACAGCCAACAAAGTGAGGTATCACGTAACTTAATGTTCAAACCGCTCCGCGTACTAGGTATATAGAACTCTCTCTACGCAACGGACCTGATCTACCGGCAACTAAAAGTGGTACAAAGCTTGCTCGGAACTCATAGCGTGGGGAAGACTAGGTTAATAAAGACGTTCGGGAGATTCGTGAAAGCGAGCACAGGATATGCTGAGCGATTATTTACTAACAGGACCTAACTGCAACCAATGAGCGCGACTGTGCTGAAGTAGTACTTTGAAGGCGAATAAGGTCTGTTTCCGTTTTGCGTCGGAAGATGTTCATACTGTAAGACATCGTATAGCCGACAGCGTGTAGAAGGAATCATAGAGAACCCCTACCTGAAGTTCTTTGATGGTCAGGTGCCTAGACTTCGAGGCAACCGACGGGATACTCAGGAATGCCCTCGGCGAATGGAGAACTTGAAACAACAATGAGTGCTAATTCAAGCGTATGCGACTCGTAAAATATCATTCATTTATCTAGATGCAGTCTTCTTTCTTCTTGGCTGCTCTCATGGCCGCGGTTGTACCCGCATTCGCCTATGAGGTGGGCACTGGCTCATGCTGCACAGCTCAGCTCAAAGCCTGCCACGAACAGGGTGCCGATGCCTGCATCTGGACCAACGCAGCCATTTGCGTCAACAACCCCAAAAACTCTGTCCCTATTGACGAGACTTGCAACGAGAAGTGCCCTACTGCCTCCGTAAAGACCCCGGATGGCTTCATCTACAAGTTCCAGAAGCACAAGTGAGTTCCTCATTAGACTGGTGTCTGTCTTTTCACATACTTAGACCAGTGACTAATCAATTTAACAGCGCTCCCGCCGGTACTTGTGTTTGCAGCAACACCAACCCGAATGTTGGAAAATACTGCTACGGGCGTAAGAGAGACCAATTCCGAGGTACGGAGAGGGCCTGAATCAAGGCATGGAGCTATTTAGACAGAGGCGTTTGCAAAATTGTTTTGAGAGAATGTATTATAAGCTTAGACCTTACAGTCATTTTGGGAACTCCATGAACTATTCAAATTCGCTGTTTAGTGGCCTTTGTCTATCCTCGTATCACGCTCATGAAAAACTCTACATGTCGGGGACCGGTTCTCGTCTCATAGCTCCCTGCTAGAAACATGGACCGGGGTTGAGTATTGCGATTCCATAGCCATATCACAAAAAGCTTCGGAAACCGTAATCATGGTTTGACTTGTACACATGTCGTTGAAATGCGCCAATGATTTCCTCGATCTGAGGGTCTTGAGGTGGGAGGACGTGAGACATGATGAGACCACAGAAGCCGTTGGTTCGATCAATAAACTGTAACTTATGTTTAGCAGACAAAGTTGAAAGGGGAGAGGGCAAAAAGCGGACCCAAAATTGGTTCGTTCCACCGCCCCATGCCAAAGTATTTGGTCCCCGGGGGCACTCCGCCTCGGAACGACGGCCGTCGATCAACATTCCTCCCAATCCCCAATTGTAGACCTCGCCGCGGTAGAAGTCGCCAATGGTAAGTTTTCGCCTGTCGAAATCTGCTTGCAGAGCTGCTCTGCTTTGGTCCGACAAGTTGGCCTGAAACATCATCTCCACAGAATCGGGCTGGAGCACACGCCTGTCGTTGCTGAAGATGGAAAAGATGAGCTCCATGTAGTCTCCTGCGCTGCAGTAAGCCCCATGGCCTCCGAAGCACTCCGTGTCGACTCCTTGATTCAAGGTCAGGACATCAGGATGCACCTCGAGTCTCCCGGTAGTTACGTTTCTTTCCGTGAGGGTGGCGACCTTGTGATCTTTCCCCTCTGCGTTTGGCCAGAAAGTGAAGCTAGATGCTCCCAGGGGTGCCCACACGTGTAGTCTTAGATATTTTTCCAGAGACATGCCGGTAAGCTGCTCTATCAGTTTGCCTGCCCAATCTGGCCCACAACCATAGTCCCAACCCTCGCCCGGTTCGAAGAGGAGCGGGTCATCGTAACGCTCTTCAATAGTGGGCTCCAAGGTAGCTGGGAGGCTTCCTCTGAGACTTCGAAGCCGTTTTAGGTCTTTGTTTTGGAAGTAGTAGCTCGTGCCGGCGGAGTGTGTCAATAAGTGGCGAAGGGTTATTGGGTTGCGACGCTCGTTGAGGATGGGTGAGCCGTCTGGCCGCCAGCCAGCTAAGACTTTTTGACGTCCCAGGGCTGGGAGTATGGAGCTCACATCTGTGTCTAGTGCGAGGAGCCGTTTCTCTACAAGCTGTAATACGGCTACTGTGAGTGGGAGCTTCGAGCAGGAAGCTAGCGTAAAGACAGTTTCTTTGTCGATGGGGGCTTGATTGGGCCATGATGACGATGGCCCGCCTAGGCATTCGGATACGATATCGGATCCTATCATTGTGTTAGCTGCGAAGGAGGGTCAGGGTCCGAGTTTGATTATCTAACCATCAAGACGTTTGGCGAAGAGTATCAGCGAAGAGAACACGTCGTCCTGCAAAGAATCCTGAAGTAGTCTCTTGAAAGGGGTCATAGTAGGCAAGACGTCATGCTAGATTTAGAAGAGTTATTGCAGAAGCGACAGGTGATCATTGAGATTAAAGTCTTATGTCAGAGAACGAGAGAACGTGAGAACCTCGGCAGAAGGCTCCGAAGGGGCCCGTAAGAGGCAACACCTGGGCTGAAAAACTTCGCAAGCAAGTAGCTCTAGTTTCATCGGGACTACCTCATTGAGCAGATTTCATCACGTACTACTATGGAGCCCGCTATTCCCTATCACATATCTATACCTAACTGATCACATAAGTGGGGGGCAAGTGGTTTGTCCGGGCTATCCGCATTGCGAATTCTCGAATATGATATCTGAGAACGAGAAAGTCAAATTGCAATATTAGCATGGCTATGCTGTGTGGGTAATGTCCGTGGACTCGGGACTTTATAGTTCGGTCTCGCATGGGTGGGGGTCATTCTATCGGGTTGGTTAATATCATTGGGTTGTCAATGGCGATGACGCGAACGAGTATCTCATCTTGAAGGCGAGAGGATTAACAGCATCGCAGTATGGTCGGTTCCGTCTGATCTCATTTTGGATTGTTCTCTTTCAATCGTACAAAACAAGATCACAACGGACGCTCTGTTGAGTGGCTTTTCACCAACTGCAGACTTGTGGTGGTATTATTACAGAAGTCAAATCCTTGATGCATCCACAATCAAACAGCTTTCTCGAACATTATGCCAATATGTCGCCCAATCGCCCCTTAGATCCCCCGCCGCTTCCCATGTAGTAAGCTAGGGTGAGCGGGGGTAAGCTAGATAAACGAGCGTATAAAGACTGAGGTTACGGTAACGAGGCCACTGCTATCGAGACCGAGATAATTAAAGGCTTCTTAAAATAAATAAATGTTTATAGATGCAAATATAGTGGTTTCATTTTTTTCGGTCTTATAAATATTGAAAGTTGACCTTGATGGATTAGGTCCTTTCAGAAGAATTATGTGATAGAGCATATTGTCTTAGGTAACTACCATATGCAGTATATACACTGTACTCTGAATACGTTTTTAATTCAACGTAGTAATTTTAATATAAAAACTGTTATATAATTTGAGATAACTCCTCCTGCTGCTACGTCCCCCGGCTACACCAACCCGTCATTTCTGTTGGTTCTATTACTTCTTCTGATGCTGCGCCACGGAAAGGTGATCGGCAAGAGACTGGAGGAGGCAAACTTTCGAGCATTAGATTAGGGGAGGTGCGATTGTGTGAGTGAAAACAAGTGCATATGAAACAACCTAGAGCTGTCGCGTTCTGGTCAAAACATTGTTTCGGTCAGAGAGCCATATGGTGGATTCCCGTGCGTAACGTCAAACTGCTCAATAACCCTCCACATGGATCAACTAGTATGATGAAGTATAATGGGTAAACTTGATGCATATCTGATCATACAGCTGGTGTCATCTTCACACGCAGCTGATTCTTTTCAAAGAATCCATACCATTTTTGTTTCAGCCAATCCACCTCCTTGTTTTCCAGCTCGACATCAAAGTTCCACAAAATTGAAGCGATGATCAATCGAACTTCGTGATAAGCTAGACTATTTCAGTCAGCATTTCAAGTCGAAGAGACTAGAGATATGAACTAGGTCAAATACCTCTTTCCGAGACAATTCCTCGGCCCGTAGAGAAAAGGCTGGAAAACCTCCTTGTTGTCGTCTGAAAATTTAGATGAAGCGTTCGTAAGCCAACGCTCTGGCATAAACTCCATTGGAAAACTAAAGTGTTTTGCAGAATGATATGCTGCCATATGAGGTATTCCTACCGTGGTCTGCCACTCGGTCAGCAGTCGCGTCTCCATACGCGGTACGGATACACGCGGCATCGATGACTCACCCCCTCTGGAACCCATTGACCGCAGATATTCGCCCCGCAGACTCGCTTCACGCGCCCCAGTGCTCCAGCAACAGGAGGATAGAGCCTAATAGCCTCGTCGATGCAGGCTTGGAGGTACTTCAAACCTTGGAGCTTGGAAATCGTAAGCTCGTCTCTTTTCAGGCTGCGAATCTCCTTGAGCAGAATCTTCATCTTGCTTTCGTTTTTGCAGAGGAAGTAAGTCAACCCACTGAGAAGACTTGCCGTTGTCTCAGATCCTGCGATGAGGAACTCGTACGAACTAGAGTACATCTCTTCTCGAGTTATGTTGTTCTGCTCCTCGTTACGCTCAACTAAGCTCCAGATATCGCTCCTGTCGGAGCCTTGCTCCAGGCGTTCGTCAACCCGCTTTACGGCGAAGTTGATGTGCTCATCTCTCATTGCCTTTATTCTCTTGGGTATCAAACGCGTGAAGAACGTCTCGAGAATTGGGTATGCACGAAGGAGTAAGGTGTATCCCGAGTACTTAAGTGATTCCTCGATAACCGAAACCCAGGGCACGAAGCTCTCACCACTGAGCATTCCCAAGGGTTTTCCAAAGGTCAAGTCCGCCATAATATCGAAGGTTGTAAAAGTGTACAGACGAGTCACTTCCACCGACTTGTCTCCCTGACACGTGGCCACCCGGTGCACCTGGTGGACTTTTTCAACCAGCATATCCACATAGCCTCGAATCAGGTCTTGCTGCCCACGAAGTGCTTTGTCTGAGAATGCATGGCTGAATATCCGCCGTTGGCGCCTGTGCCCTGAGTCGTTGGCGCGGATCAGGCCCCGAACATTAGGCGCAATATCTGGTCCATACATCACCAAGTCCTTTTCAAAGAGGTCTTGCCCGGACTTGTGGAAGCCATGAATATCCTTCCATGCCCGGTGATCAATGTAGCTGAGCTCATCTGGTCCAATCCGAACAATAAGACCATATTGATCATGGAGCCGTTTGGGAGCGATGGCACCATCCCCTATGACTGTGAAGTAGAGTCGATAAAGCTTTGTGACTGCTGCGAGTTTCGGTCCGGGATAACGGCGAAGGGGATGAAAATAGATGCGATAGATGATGACTGCAAAGCGATGGATAGAGAACTAAGAGTTGGGGTTAAAACTGCTGTGACGGCCACGGCCGGGGTCGTTGTGACTGACGTACTAAGATGGCTACAGCAAGCGTGGCTTGTGCGACTGTAAAATGTGAATGGAACATATCTAAGGGTAACAAACCCATGTTGGTGGAAGGAAATTGCATGGCTAATGAGTTGTTGGAAGAGTCGACACACACTGTGAGTGGTAGAGAACATGTTCTGAAGTAAAAGTTGTTGTTAAGTACTGGCGAAACGGCACGGCAAAGTTAACGGCAATGAGCCCGAAACCGAGCCCGAGTATGAAGTGGGTATGAACATCCAAAGCCGCATCCAAAAATGTATGTTTTACCTGCCCCTGGACTTCCCACGGGGCAGGTGAAGGCCAAGTCTCTTTCTAATACCTAGGCTCAGTCTTGACTCGTCGCGTAACGTGTGCGATACCTGTGCACAATGTGAAAAATCGTCCAGTGTACAGAGCCCGGGATAACGTTCTAGGTCTCTATGTTATCCACAACTTCAATGATAGTTGTGATTTTCGCTTGTTGCTAATTGTAAACATTCTATTGTCCAATGGACACCCATCACCATTCGTTCGTGGAGCAAGCATTTCAAAGCTTAATATCTCAATACAATGATGTATCAATATCGGTACTAACGTAGCGTTAATCGCTAGGAACACAAGATGGTCGGGCTTCCCATCAAAGTTGCTCGCCTGGGATTCTCGAAGTGGTCTAGCCGCTCAAAGCTCTCCAAGTGAGTTTGAGTAGACTGACTGCAGTGAAAAGACGTGTTAAAGGAGCCTACAATTGTTGTAGCCTAAAAGCGTGACATATCTAGACTTACTACTGCCTTAAAGAGCAGGTCTTAGCGTCGTCAGGAAAGCAAGGAAGACATTGCCAATATGTAAGTTGAGGCTGCATCTGAGTAAGAACACTGTTCAAGAGCATGAAGTATACAATCTACTCTCACTACTCATTCGTTATTGAGCCTCTAATATTCCAGCTTCCATACGACGTGTTCCCAACCCTCTCGTCTTTTGAACGTGGCCTTCACTTGCTTCTTTGGCGGTGGGACACTTTGACCCGTGAGATTTGCGATAGGGCACTCAGGAACAACGAGACCATCGCAGTCAAATCCTGTAACCAATGCCGCGAGAAGGGTGATGTTCTCGTTAATGGCGAAGTTGCGACCAGGGCACAGGTGTTTGCCGCCACCAAAAGGCCAAAAGGCCATCTTCTGCGTGATACCGCTTGACCCCGATATGCGTACTTGGTGCTCGAGCCATCGTTCAGGCGCAAACTCATTTGGGTCCCTTTCGCCCCACGCTTCTGGGATGCGGTGTCCAACACCGGCGGGAATATGACAAATGCCTCCAGCACGGAGCAGAGTTCCGTCAGGAAGTGTCGTGTCGTCTAGAACGTGCCGTGTTGCTGTATTAGAGTCGAAGAGACGCAAGGTCTCACGATGTGCCGCAGTGATGTAGGGGCAGATGGTTGAATCGGTCAACTGAGAGGTACGAAAAGTTGCGACTACTTTTATCGCAGCTCCACTGGGCCCACTGATATCTTTCTTTCCGAAGGTCACCAGTGGCTTAACCTCTTCTCTGACTTTGGCGAGAATATGCGGTCGAGACATGACGCTGATCAAAAACCAAAAGAACATTGGGGCACTATTGGTCGTTGCGGCTACCACCATGCCTACCTCAAGTCGGCCCAGGTCAGTGTCGCTGAGGCCAGAGTTGCGAATGATGCGTGCCCGAAGCTTTGTAAACTCTGCGACATCTGGTGGGAATGACGGTTCGTCGGGAAATTGCTTGTAATAGTTGACGAGAACATGTTGAAGTCGCTCTCGAGCAGAATTGCCAGCTGGTGCTATCCATTCAGGCTTAATGTTAGGGAAAAGATAGGTCAATGCATCATCAAATGTCCTATGATCTGTTAGAATTGAAACGGTACGGGAGCCTGAATCAACGCACCAGATATCATCGACCAGACGAGGGTCTTGTCTAAATGGATTTGTTTTTATGCCGTAAAGCGAATCTGTTGCGGCCATGGCGATCCGATTTCTGAGAAAGTGATACAAGTGCTGGATCTCTTGCTGATGGTCAGGTCCGGCTGCTAGCGCATTGAGATCATCAGTAAACGCCGCAAGTGCCGTGACCGTCATACGTCGCATGGGTTCTGGTGAAGTTGCTGATGATACCGTCGTGGAGAAGGCATGGAGCAGTGTGCCGTCCACGAAAAGCTCTTTTGCCTTTGCGCTGAGTCTGACCAGGCCATCGCTCGCCTGGACGACGAAAGGGTCAAAGGAAAGAAGACGGTTGCGGAGAGCTGCCTGTGCCAGAGAGGGAGAGGCAATTAGATAGACCTTTTGGCCAAAGATGCTGAGCGTGGCTGTCGAAAGCTTTCCCTGAGAAGACTCGTACATCTCTAGATAGTACTTGCCGCCCTTGTAGAGCATGTTGACGAGGTGTCCCACAACAGGTATCGTCGGCTTCAGGAGTGGTGGCTCCCTCGGATCCAAGCTAGGCGTCGAGATTCTGCTGATCGCCAGGGCGATAAGCGGAAAGAGCGCGAGAATAACATAGCTGAAGATCCGAACAAGAGCAGAACCATACAACTGTGTTGACTGTCCCTGGTCTGTGGTAGAGGTGTTGGCAAGTGACTCAGGCATCATCAAAGCCGCCAGTGGTTAGATATCCAAACGATCTAGGAAGGCAACCAACGATAATTGATAGGAATGTCTATCAGGCAGAAATAACTTATAACAGGTACACCTTTGAGCGAGGAATAAGCAGGTTAGATAGACACTAGTACATTTTCTCTGAAATCGGGTAACAATGTTCTAGCCAAGCCAAAGACGAATTGTTGATTTCACCGTTACAAAAGCACTGTATTATCCATCATGCGATTCGCAAACGTCGTATTCATCTGCCAAGCAGAAGATTCGCTCTCGCATTCGGCGAGGTGACCTTAGTCATGTTACGTCGGGGCTGAGATTTCGTGATACGCGACTCTGACTTAAACTACGGCCCGCATTCTAGCCATTGCCTCACTTCAGGTCAGATTGAGTTTCCGAAGGCTTGGCTATAAGATCCGAACCTATGGCTACCTATTGCCGCTTCTCTTAATATATCTTGTTTCTGACATGGATCAGCGCAGGGCGACTCTGACTCAAGTTGACTAGCATCTTGGTGTGACTGGGGTGCCTAGTCAAATAGTCCACATATCCAGTTCCCAGACGTCCGTTTTAACATCTCGTTGAGATGTGGGCCTCAATCTGGCCACGCGGGTGAGAAACACCAGATTTGCGGGACTCCTTGATTGGCGGCTGTTTCTCAGACACGAAATACGAGGCTTAATATTGTCTGTGTATATGGGGGAATGGTCCAATGTGTCATGCAGCTCGACAACTATGAACGCTGTCTCAATCGCATTGAGATCCTTGCCTTTGGATTGGCAACAAGCACTAAACCAAACTCAAGAGGCTTTTCGTTGGCTGAGACCGGTGCTAGCTTCCAGTCGTATCTCAGCAAAATGTTTGAGAGCGCCATCTTGGATTCGTGTGCGGCGAAAAAGCGGCCAGCACACGCGTGCTTCCCGTAGCCAAACGCAAGATGATTCGGGCTTGTGCTCACAAGATGCGCCTGATTTGCGACCTTACTATCACCGCTCTCTCGCATGCGGACAAAACGATAACCATCGAATCTCTCAGGGTTTTCATGCACGTTCGGATCCCATAGCTTGTCTGCAGAAACACCAATGACGCTCCCCTTGGGTATTGTGTCGCCATTAGATAGAGTTGTGTCTTCCAAGACAAGCCTATGCATGAACGCTATCAATTGCGCGTTAGCTTTAAGTGCGTCGTCTAAGAAATCGTGACTATTTTAACTCACTCATGGCAAGGGGCTTCCGGCGCTGGCTCTCCTTCAGCACGCTGTCAAGGAGCTTCATCTCGTGAAACGCCGCCTTGCTCCATCCCAATCTATTAGCGGCGTCATTGATCTCATCTCGTAAAGGTTCGACGACTTCCGGAGTGGCTGCAATCTCAAGAATGGCTTGGGTGAGCAAGTCTGTTGTGGTGTGGATTGCGGCTTGTGACAAAATGAGTTGCGCAACAACAGGATCGTAATCGCTTGTCGTGTCTTTGGTATCTTGTTCAAGCCACTCAATCACGTCGTTGAAAACTGGAATAGGCTTGCCAGACTTGATAGCGGCTTCTTTTACCAGGCGACGCCGCTCAATGGCAGCTATGATAATACTCCTCGCCTTGAAAACATGTCGGCGGAGCTTGATACAACATGGCAGTATCCAGTGAACCAACGGGCGAAGCTTGGCCGGCCATAAACGAAGGATTTTGGCCGCAACGTAAGCATCGGTTGTGTATTCAGTGGTGACTTTTATCCAATCGTCATTCCTCGTGATCTCTTCTCCTAGGAAGACGCGAGAGGAAAGACGTGCTACAAGCTTCAGGACATGGTCACGAAGATTGATCTCTGTCCAGTCTACTACAGATGTTAGACCACGGCTATTGGCAGTATAATTTCTTCATTCAGGCATACTTTTTGCATCTGGGAAGTGATCTTTCAATGCAACCGCGCATTCCTCTGCTAGAGCTCCTGTAACTTTATCTGCCATGGCCAACGTTAGTCAAATTACAATGCTCTCTTCAGCAAATGAGCATGTTCATACCTAAAGAGTGTGTGAGATGCTTTCTGGCAATATCGCGACTTAGTGCCGCATCGGTTGTGCCTTCCCGGAAACCCTCGAAGCCGGGGAACCGAGCATGAAAATTCTACAAATCCGAGTCTCGTATTAGTTTAAGACCTATGAGTGTGAAATACGCTGTCATACATACCTCAGTAATTACTTGTGGATAACTTAGCCGCGAGTCTGTCCGGATTTCATTCGCAAACTCTGAGGGAACCACTGTGATGACGCCTATATCGGTCAGGATGCGGAACGCTCGATTCAGTTTCAAGCCTTTGGACACGAGGTTTCTGGCATTGAAGAGAAATGATAACTGAACCAACAACCGAGGCTCCCAGAATCTGGGAGCGTTTACCATCGGAATAGTGTCTTTTCTTCTGAAGGCTCCGTGAAACGTCAGCAACAAGATCAAGCCAGCCACTATACTCGAGAAAGAGTACACATAGCTAGCTCGGAAATAGCCCAGCGCTTGGTTGCAAAGCGCGTCAGTTGAAAAGAACAGCAGCGCAGTGGCCGAACTGCTGTCATTGACCATCATGATCATTATGATAGACACAATGATGAAATGATGAAATGATGCTTGCGTGAAGCGAAGAGGGGGGGAAAAAAGAAAGGTTAGTTGCAGACGTGCGCACAACGTGATAGAAAGGACATCTTGAAAATAGGAAAGAAGCTTGTGCGTTGTAACTGGGTAGAGAAGACGCAGGCGCCCGAGAACGATTCGGAAGCCTGTTTACCCTAGTCTTGCGATATCGAGCAAGTCGAGTGAGAGCGCATAGCTGCAAGACCACGGATTTCAGAATGGCCCTGTTCGCCGAGGGCGGAAACATCCGAGAGCGAGAGCGACTTAATCGGCTTAGCTACGAAGAGTCAGTCTAGGTGAGCAGCTACCACATGGTCAGTCCCCCTTCTGACCCGCTACCCACGGCTTCCACGGAGTTTCAGCCCATGGTATCATTTCAAGTCACTCTCGTCATACTGCGATCTGTATTAAGATCTCAACTTTCAGACAGGGACCAGGACCCAAAAGCTCGTACGACAGGTTTTAACGAATGGATTGCTCACCGCTAGCGCTCACCTGACATGGAGTCAACTTGACGCCTGGAGGCGGATCACTAAAGCATGGAGATTATGACCAGGGTTGGCAGCGGAAATGCTCATTCTTCTAAGTTTTCTATATGCTTTGCGGAAGGAAAGAAAAAACATCAAAATCCGATGTTTTAGACTACGCTTTCAATGTCTCAGTGGAAAAGCACCATTTCCGATGCTTGGTCTCCGGCCGTGTTCGGATTTCCACCAATACATCCGAATTAGGCTTTTTCACCGACAGCATATTCGTATCGTCCTCTTTGGGTAGACCATCTGCGCCATCAGGGAAAGTTACGTCAAACGTAGAGAGAAACATCGCCGTGAATGTAATCATCTCGTCCACTGCAAGGTGCCTTCCGGGGCACAAAGTGCTGCCTCCTCCAAATGTCCGGTTTGCTGCTGGGTGTACCTTGCTCGGCCTCAAGAACCTTCCCGGCTCGAATGCGCCGGCATCAGCACCCCAAACATCTGGATTCGAGTGAATCGCCGTTGCTGCCATTTGGACTATGGCTCCTTTCTTCAGGACATATTCGTCGCCTATTTCAACATCCTGGTGAACCAGAAAGGTGCCAGTCGAAGAACTGATGCATCGCAGAGTCTCATGGCAAATGGACATGAGAAGCGGGCAGCGTTTACGAATAGCGGCGACATCAAGTGTGGAGAATTCCTCATCATGTGCGCATGGCTGAATGATCAGAGAAAGCTCCAGGCGAACCTTTTTCAGCAGTTCTTTATCTCTGGCAATACGCAAGATGATCCAAAAGACAGCAGGGACTGTGTTGATCAGGAATCCGGTCATGAGGCCAAGACCATAGCGAGCAATGAACTCAGTCCCTCTACTGTGGTCCAGTGCAAGCCTGCGTGTACGCCGAATCAATTCAGATGCAGTATCTTCGGGAAATGAGTCGCCAAAGTATTCCAAAAAAGCATCGACGATTTTTTGACGTGCCGCTGCTGGTTTCGTAGCCGTGATGGTGGGAAAAACACCCATCGTCAAAGCCTTGAGGCCATTCTCAAAGTCCCTGTGAAAAAGTCAATAGACGTTCTGGTAAGGAAAAGACATGGGTCTATACCAAAATGCCTGCAGCAACTCTTTGTTGTTAGCAAAAGGGCCGTCTGGTCCGTGAAGGGCCTTTGCAGTCGACATTGCGAAGATCTCTTGGAGCCAACTCTGGAGAGCAATGGTTCTTGGACCTTCGCTGATGCTGTTGACATGGTTTGCTAGGCCGTTGAAAATCTCGTCGTAAACCTCCTTCAGGGAGAGAGAACCCGGAGAGAGAAGTGAATGCTCCATCACGTGGGCTTCCTGTCTTAGCGAACCTTTTTGCAACGGGTTTCTCAGCAACTCCGAGATGTCGGTCTGAGAAAAAGCGAATAGTTTCCCATAGACAATGGTGACGAAGGGAACATTGCCATCAACCTCTTTAGAGCGACGAGATATCAAGGCAATAAGTTCTGGTGAGTTGACGATGTACGTCTTCTGAGAGGCCAAATACACAGTCAGGATTGGAAGCTTGGTCGATGATCTGCTTGTAAAGTCAACAATCTGTCGAGAAAAACATACTTTAACAAGATCAAGGTTTTAGTGCCCCATCTGTACTCACTTACCTCAGATAGATGTAATATGACACTCCATATCTCAGAAGCCCAAGTATATGACCTATAAACGGGACTGAAGCATTAACCAGAGGAGGCTCTTTTGGTCCCGGTCTAAGGGTCAAGTATTCAACCAAGCGTAAGAGAAGAAATGCTGCTGTAGGGAGAAAAGCTAGAGCAACTAACAACCGGCTCAGCTCAGTAACGTCTATCATCATGATGGATACGTCTTCAGCCTGGTAAAGCAACGAGTATGGTGTAAGATTGAAGAGTAAGGAGCTATAACACTGAGATCGCAGACCTTCCGCGGTACAGTCATGATTCTATTTACATCTTCCCTTCGGACTCGGTTCGATAATGTGGAACTCGTAGGCTTCTAGCTACCCATATATTGCTCTCAACATCTATGCATAGGTAAGTCGAAATGACTAGTGTAGCCGTCTGTATGTGGTCAAGGATTATAATGCCCGTATCCTTGCCAGGGGTCGGTCCCTCATCCTAGCTACCGAGAACAGGTACAAGTCCGCCACCGGAGTGCTGTGTCAGCTCCAAAGAAGCGGTCTTATGAGCACACAATGCTGCAAACTTCTATTTATTGCCTCCATGAGTCTCTTTTGAAAAGTATGCCCGATGTTACAAGAAGCATCTCTCATTGCCTGCCAGTACCATTTCCACGCCAGTGCTTCCGATCCTTGTCATACGCCAAGATATATGCACTCTTCTTTTCGCAACAATGCTCATCAAATCTTACCCGGGTGGTGCGGCAGTCAATGGGTCGTTATTTGTTACGTTCTTGATTACATTTTTGCTCATCACTTTCTCCGTTCCTGCGTCAAAGTCCTTCATCCGGCTGACCGGAGTCTTGGCTCTCGCGAGCTTGACTTACGCGCTCCAGCTCGCGTCTAGTGAGTGGATCGCCAATCCTCACTGGCGTTCCGCGATCGTTCCACTTTTATGGATTCAGTTCATGAGTGCTTCTGAGCTTGTCCTGGTCAGAAGGTGGGATGGCAGCTGGGAACCGGATGCCCGCACCAAGAGCATAGCTGGGTTCGCCCCATCTTCCGCCTCTCCGGCGGCCCGAACGTACGAATCTCTGATGCTGCTTTGGAAGCTCAGACGAATCGGCACGAGGTGGCAGGTCAGAAATGTTCCTGGATTACAACAACGGTCTCCACACCCCCCAGAGAGCCGGGTCGCATTCATCTTGAAACGATCTCTCAAGATCCTGGTTGCCTACCAGGTGCTTAGCCTCATGACGCAGGCCCCGCCTCCGGACCCGAATTTTGTCGGTCGCGACAAACAAGCGCTGGCGTTTCAGGGTCTCGTCAGGCTGTCGCAAGCGGACATCACTTTCCGCATCATTGGGACCCTGTCGTTCTGGGCCTGCACGGCTCTCATAAACCTACTCATGTTCGAAATTGCTTGCCTCGGATTCGTTGTCGTTTTTCTATGCAAGGTCGAGGACTGTCCTCCACTCTATGGGGATTTCTCATCTGCCTCGACCATTAGGGGCTTCTGGGGGTAAGTCGAACGCTACAATCTCGTTCCAGTCTATTTGCTGACAGTCTTCCACTCAGAACGGCATGGCATCAATGTCTGCGTAGTGGGCTCACAGGCCATGCCGATGTCATTGAACACCACATTTTCCCATTTCGGCAAAGACTGGTTTCTAGATACCTTCGTATCTTTATCTCTTTCTTCATTTCTGGTCTGATTCATCATACTTCTGACATGGCAATGGGAATGACAGCAGAGAACGTCGGTGCTTTTACCTTCTTCTTGTTGCAGCCGATTGGAATCATCGCTGAAGATGCTATCCAGGCTATCTCGAAACAAGTGCCATTGTGTCGTTCGGCGTCTAGAGTTCGGGTCTTTGTCGGATACCTATGGGTTCTTGTGTTCCTTGTCTGGTCGACCCCAACGTGGTTCTATCCCCAGCAAAGGCTCGGATTGGATGCATCCGGACTTCTGCCATTTCATCCGAATTTGTTGAAGCAGTGGAATCTCCACTCAAATTTTCACTAGAATCAGTCTCTAAATACCTTGTTATCGAAGAAACTTGATTGTCAGGCGGATAGAGTTTGGATATCTACCAGACTGGACGACTTCCTTTCATAGAACAGGGATAAACCCGGCCTTTCTCGAAGCGACTGTCACATGCGCTAGCACGAGATCTAACTTATATCTCCTACCTATCTTGAACTTAATCGTTATGTATTGGGACTGTAGTAATACAAGCCAGCTTTGAACACCTCTTATACCCATTGCTACGTGCCATGATAGCTCGTGAGAACTTCGGTCTCGGACCGGTGTGGCGGAAGGACCATAAGAATCATCATGCACAGCACGGTCCTCCCGTATCTTCCAGCCTGGCCTGTATTCCGGACAGTGTTCACACGTACGGATTGTAGTGTACATGTGATTCATTGCCAAGATTGCTATGTATTGTCGCTACTAGCCACAATCTGGGTCGTCTCGAAACCGATCATTGTGAAGACAGGGTCCGAGGGATCAACAGGGATATGCTCAGCCTCCCTTAAGCAAGCTAAAATTTATCTCGTTCGCTAGAAATCACATTTGATGCGATCCCCTTCGATGCAGTCTATCTGACCGTGGTCTATGATTTTCCGTGCAATCAATCTTACTCGTCAACTCCATCCCGCAAAGTTCTCAACATGATCAAACACCTCTATCATACGGCTTCTATCGTGCTGCAGTCGCCCATCACGGCGTTGATACTTCTCACCTCTACGCTTCTCTATTACATCTACTTGAAAGGCTTCCCAAGACCTCTCACTGGAATTCCATACAACGAGAGCGCTCTGAGAAGCTTCTTGGGTGACCTCCCTGCTTTCCAGCATGCAAGAAACCACGGGAAAGGCTTTACTGTGTGGATGCGCGACCTGGCTCAGAAACATAGGTCACCAATGGTCCAGGTCTTTCTGGGCCCATTTACACAGCCATGCGTAGTTCTGTTTGACTATCGTGAAAGTTACGACATTGTAGCACGGCGAACAAAGGAGTTCGACCGTTGCCGAAGGGATGCAGAAACTATGTCGACCATTTTACCTGAGCATCATCTTTCGATGGTGTCAACTGACGCCAGGTTCAAAGGCAACAAGGACTTGGTGAAGGATTTGATGGCCCCAGGATTCTTAAACGAGGTTAGTCTTTCTGTCGACTTCAGTCAAGAAAGCTTTTCTCAGCTAAATTTGGCTACTTAGGTTTCTGCGCCCGAGATTTATAGCAAAGCGCTATCTCTCATAGAGCTGTGGAGTGTGAAGAGCAAATGGGCCGCAGGCCGTCCGCTCGAAGCCCATCACGATCTCCAGAACGCTGCTTTAGACATCATCATGTCTGCTGCATTTGGCGAGACAAGCAATGGCGGTGTTCTCCGGCAGCACATACTCCAGGAAACGGGCTATAGGCCCTTCCTAGTGCCAACAGATCTGAAAGAGCCCGCATGCTTCAAGAGTCTTGGGCTTCCTACTGAGTACCAGGCTACTGTTGATATCACCCACTTTATGGGCAGGGTTGTCACGTCGCCCTTCCCAAAACAGTTTGCATGGCTGTTGAAGACTTTTACGAGTGTGAGCAGTGTATTTGTGAAGAAGGACGACTTCATCAGGAGCCAGATTCAAAAGGCAGTAGCATCGCTGAGCGACAAATGGCTCCAAGGAGAGAAGGCAGCCAAATCAGCTTTAGACTTCATCGTCCTGCGAGAAGTGACAGCAGCCAAGAAGTCTGGACGCAAACCCTCATTCACTTCAAAGAGATTGGAAGACGAGGTAAACTTTCTGATGTCCCCTTAGACGAGAAAACCATGCTGACTTCACAACAGTTGCTTGGATACATCGTCGCAGGTCATGAAACGTCTGCGTCCATCTTATCTTGGGCTGTGAAGTTTCTAGCCGACAATCAGAAACAACAACATACATTGCGCAAACACCTCCAGGCAGTTTATCCAGCTGCTGTCAAAGAGAAGAGACAGCCAAGTGTAACCGAACTCACAAAGGTTGCAGCTCCGTATCTTGATGCCTTCCTGGAAGAGATTTTACGACTCTCACGGACAGCTTCAATTCTAACACGCGAGGCTGTTACTGATACTATCGTGATGGGGAAGTTCGTGCCGAAAGGTACCACAATGTTCATCTTCACACAAGGGGCGAGCTATGTTCAGCCGTCTCTGGGCGTTGACGAACAAGTGAGAAGTAGGACTTCGCAAGAAGCCAAGCGAGTCCCAGACTGGCTTTCCGACAATGTAGGAAAGTTCTGTGCTGGGCGCTGGCTTGTACCAAAGACGGGAGCGAGCGGGTTCAGCGAAGAAAGCGTCGGAAAAGAGGCCGGCTGGACTTTGTCTGATTATGATTTTGATCCTCGAGCTGGGCCAATCTTGACATTTGGCGGTGGACCAAGAGGATGTTTTGGTAGACGTCTCGCCTATCTTGAGTTGCGCATGGTTCTTGCGTTGCTTGTGTGGAATTTTGCTTTCAAGCCATGCGCCGACAATCTTAGCACCTATGAGCTCAGGGAGAGCATAACTGTAGAACCCAAGGATTGCTACGTCAACCTTCAGACTTCAGATAACATGTAGATAAGAGTATCACAACTTCCAGGTTCAGTCGTTCACTTCGAATGTAGTCACTGATTTCTGACATTTCTATCCAACTACAATGTTGCCGAAACCCAACTCCGCCAGAAGTCATCGCGCCAGCTCAATATGTCACGAGATATGGATGTGGTTAATGCTGCCCACATTGAGTGGGCCCGCTTTTTGTAACAGTTATGAGCCCAGCTCCTATCCGCTATTACTATAATAGTTAAAGTACCGCATTATTTATAAGTCGTATATCCAAAAAGCGAAAGACGGCCGTTCGAGTCTCTGTATAAGTAGGTTTTTCTAGTTAGTCTGGGGCTAAGGCGTAGTATAGATATTAGGTTTTTTTAACTAGTCTACTACTTACGGGGTTAAGGCGTAGTATAGATGCCCATTGTACGGATAACGGCTCTAGGCATCTGGGGGGTGTGTCACGAGATATGGATGTGGTTAATGCTGCCCACATCGAGTGGGCCCGCTTTTTGTGACACAATAGTACGCCCGTCTGGCCACTGCCAATAGTGGATTTTGTGAGCCACGGATGTTCACTCGAAGCCAAGAGTACATCAATTTGCATGAGAAGTCTAATTCCTATGCTATTATTATCATCATGTTCTGGGCTGAAAGCGATCCCACATTGCTACGGGAACTCTAGGCTGAGTCGGTCGAGTTGCTGTCGCCGAGTCACATAGTCGCTTTCGGTTTCAATCCTGACCGGCGTAAGATAACGTTTTGTGAGTACCGCGCGCGGACCGCAAACCTTATTTCCTGCAAGATCTAGAACCCGCATGCCTTTGCCGATCTCCGCACGAATGAATCCGAGACAGACTCAGAGGAAGAAACGGGGACTTGACCAGTTCTCCGCGTGCCGTGTATGGGATGACCCGATTCATGTGCTCCGAGGACTAGGGAGCGACGCTATGCCAAACACCTGATCCCACTTTTGCACACTCCCCTGGGCCCATGCTCCATCGGTCTTGATCAGCCTCCTGCTGAGCCTCCGAGCGCGCCAAGCTAGGTTATTAGCATCCACAACGTTCCAGTCTCAGAGCGAGGCGGGCTGTTGGCGAGATTTTCCGATCGAGACGGCCCAATTTGGTAGCATTCAATGCCGAGGCGCCATGATAATTGATGGCTACGTGACTCGAGGGCAAGTGTTGATAACATATATACATTTCAACACGAAAGATTATTAGACTTCTCCGAGCATTCAGCATCTGTACCATCACGAAGTTCAGGAAGTCGCTCCTTTCGCATTTTTACACATCTGTTCGCGTTTTTTTCTTTTTCGTTTCTTTCGACATCGCCGACAATCAAGATGGAGTCTCTAGATGTTCCCTTGGCGCCTGAGTCTACTTTCGTGAGGATGAGAAAAGGTTACTCCCGATCTCGGCTTCAGCTTGAGCCCGCACAACGGCCAACATGGGGTAGATCGAGTCGAGGATCCTGGATGCGCTCAGTCGGCTCACTGCTTCTTGTGATGCTTGCGCCGACCTTGGTCATCTCCACGACCGTGGCTATTTCCGCATTCCAAGGCTCTCTGTCCGACTTCTTGAAGGCTACTTTGCAAGACGGATTGATCTCTGTCGTATGGTCAAATTGGCCATGCTTCAGTCTCAAGTCCACTGGAGTGTTTGCACTCTGGGTCCTCTTTCAAGGCATCCTGTTTCGATACTTGCCAGGCCCAATACACGACGGCCAGAGAAGCCCTGCCGGCCATCTATTGACCTATCGTACCAATGGGCTCAATGCCTGGTTCGTTACCCATGCATTTGCCGCTGCGCTTTGCTATTTCGGCCTCTTGGATCCTGCCTTCATCCCGAAGAACTGGGGTGGCCTGGTCCTCACAATGAATGCTGCTGGTCTCTTGCTTTCTGTCTCGGCCTTTATCAAAGCGCACTTCAGGCCAACCCATGCGGATGACCGAAAGTTCAGTGGTAAGCCAACGGTCACCATGTTTTCCGTGGTCACACAACGACTAACATATAATAGGATCCATATTTTATGACTTTTACATGGGGATTGAGCATAACCCAAGACTTTGGGGCGACTTTGACCTGAAACTGTTCACCAATGGCAGACCGGGCATAATTGCATGGACACTTATGTAGGTTTCTACGAAGAATGGCGCAGCTTCACACGAGCTGACTCGAATCTAGCGATTTGTCCAATATCGCATATCAGTACGAGATCCACGGACGGATCGATCCCAACATTGTTCTTGTCACCATTCTGCACACAGTATACGTCCTTGACTTCTTCGTTAATGAGTCCTGGTATTTGCGCACCATTGACATTGCTCACGACCACTTCGGCTTCTACCTAGCTTGGGGGTCCTTTGTCTGGCTCCCTAGCATGTATACCATTCAAACCCAATTTCTTGGGCTCTACCCAACAAGAACCTCAACCTTTCACCAGGTCGTCATCTTCTCTATCGGAGTCGCTGGGTACATCATCTTCCGGGCCGTTAACAGCCAAAAGGACAGGGTTCGTCGTTCCAACGGCGATTGCTCCATTTGGGGAAATCCGGCAAAAGTCTTGGTAGCATCTTACAAGACTTCGGACGGCCAGAGTCATCAGAGCCTTCTTATTTGCAGTGGTTGGTGGGGCTGGTCGCGTCATGCCAACTACTTTGGAGACTTGCTTCTCAGTACAGCGATGTGCGCTTTAGTGGGATCTTCGAAGTGCTTGATATGGTTCTATGCGATGTTCATGACAATCTTGCTCGTACACCGATGCATTCGGGATGAGGCAAGATGCTCGGCCAAGTATGGGCCGGTATGGGAGGACTACTGCAGAACTGTTCCGTGGCGAATCGTACCTGGAATTTGGTGAGACTAAACCTCTGTACCTCTAAATACGTAGAACACGTTATGCCTTTACGAGCTGGGCAGGACAATTTGACTTCCAATACTTCTCTGACAGACTTTGCCGTATGATATTCGAATGAACTTGCAGTCCTAGAGCTGCACTCAGTTGAAGTTCGGTGCCTACTGGCTATCTGTGTTTTGAAGCTGAATCATCTCCATACATTGGTTCATCGCTTGTAATTCTGAATTCTCTTCAGTCCATCCCCCCCAGCTCTGTCTCCGTCCACTCCCATAGCCTTTGTGCTAGCTTTTGGTTTGCCAGGTTTCCCTTTCCTACGGCTAGTTTTCCTACGGGAAGATAATATACTCCGCTCTTGACCTTTGGGTGAACTGATGCCCACAACTGATTTTGAACTCCATTCTCCACACTGCTTGATGCCATTCTCATAAGGGGATACAACGTTTCAAGTATGTAGCTTGAGGATGTCCAAGACTGTGCCCAGTTCGTATCTACAAAGCCGGGATCAACGACACAGACCTTGATCTTGGTTTGTCTCTTCGCCAATTCCCGGGCATACAAAATGACTGCGAGTTTGCTCTGACCGTATCTTGCCCATGCACCAACTTCACCAAAGTCTGTCTTGAGAGCATCAAAGACAATGCCCTGCGTCGGAGCCATCGAGGAAGCTTGAGAGCCCAAAAAGATGATTCGGGCGTCTGCTTCGGGTATTTCAGCAGTATCGAGAAGGGTTGGACTCAGAAGCTTCGTAAGCAGGACAGATCCGATATAGTTAGTGCCGAACTGCATTTCGTAGCCGTCCTCAGTCAGTCCGGGTGGTGTTGCGACGATTCCAGCGTTCAGCATGAGAATGTCTAGTCGGCTTGATTTCAGGCGAATTATGCGAGCCGCCTTTCGAATCGATGCAACTGAAGTGAGCTCAAGATGAATGAACTCAATGGATGCATTTGGAGCCTCGTCCTGAATTTCCTTGATGGTCCTCTCTGCAGCGGCGGCGTTTCGTGCCGCAAGCCATATCTTCTCGGGATCATAACGCGCGTATTCTAGTACTGCCTGTCGCCCCAGGCCACTTGTTCCTCCAGTAACCAGAATGACCTTGCCCTTAATCGAAGGCAAAAGCTCGGAGCGGTTGAAGGCAGGTTTCGCCCTGGGCCATAGAAGGGAACTCATGATAACTAAAGATATCAAAGCTCGGGTGACGGGGTAAGGCGATTGGCGAAAGAGTAAGATACGTAATCAAACAGAGTGAATCAGGCACGAGGACAAATGCTTCTAAATATACTACTTTTCAAAAGGATCTAGAACGCAGCAGTAACTTTTGGGTTCATCTACCGCTGAATCGTACAGCTTCCCGTCGGATCGGCTCGGGCTTCCCAATACGTTGCCACAAATAGGTTCAGTGATTGACAGGGATGATACATGAGGTGAATTCAAGGCTAAGTACGGATAACAGGACCAGCTAGGCGTTCTTTACTTTTGGCCGAGGTCAGTGTCATGGAACGTGCAAGCTTGGAGGCTGCATGGGCTCTCTGGCCGATGATCCTTGCAGCCGCCTGCAGAGGCTTAATCCGAGACATGGATGAGCAGTCTATCTTGCTCCACAGATGGCCTGGCGGAGTTTGACACTTGGAGCCTTGCAATCGAAAGCTTAGGGACAAACTTCAGATTTCTCGGTTACGGGTACACGTACCCTTTACGGTTACTTCATCGCATTTCCCGCCTTGATCCATAAAGAGGATATGATACACATTCCGACAATCCATACGAGACTTCGCAGCGGCGCCCATTTGCGATTGTCCTGTAATTTGACGTAGATGAGAGTATATGCCGCCCTGGAAAAGAGGTATGTCAGAGACAGTACATCCAGCGTTGGCTTGCCAACCCCCGCCGAGTTCGCAGCTACAACACCTGCAGCGTACAGACCCAGGGTCTCAGTCGCATTGTCGTGGGCAGCTTTGGCACGTTGAATTCTCTGGCTAATCTTGGAGTATCTTTGTTAGCTATGCGATGAAGAGTTCTAAGCACTACTTACCCTTTTGTCGAGACTCTCGTCGCCTGACACAGCATCCAGGAGCCTACGAGGCTCGGCCACGTCATATTTGTCACCCGCAATTGTATTGGCGTAGACATGTGGGATGAAAGCAAGTATGTAAGCCAAGGGAACCTATGAGTAGAGTAAGTGGCTTTTATCTTGCTAGCGGTTTCCGAACAAAAATGCTAACCGAATAGTATGAGAGGTTCGACTCAGCAAGCCCAACAAGAGACGTCATGTTGACAACGTGAATGCGGAAATGGATTGAAAGGGCCGTCTGTGGTGTAGGTGGTTGACGAGAGGAGAACAAAGTGCCCAAGTGGTCACGGAGTATCATGCAATAAATTCACGATTCCATCGCACACTCGTCATTTGGTGATTGAGTCCGTGTCAGCCGGCGAGTCGTACCAACGAACCCCACGGTCCACTAGGTTAGATGGAGCCGGACTTCGTCGCTCTGCCCGGAGCCGAGATGGAGGCCTGTGGATATCGTCTGAGGTTTGTAACTCTATCTGACATTGGACGTGCGTGAACAAGGCGATACCGAGACCGAGGCTAGGCCAAGATATACTCAAATGAAGAACAGAAATAAGTACTATCACGGGGGTTATTCGTCACCAGATTTTGGGCGAATGAGCGAGTTTGAGAGCACGAATTTCGCCGAAACATTCCGACTGATATATCAAACAGCTCATATATCTTCGTTGCTCGACACTAGACCATCGATACATGCAGCAGACAATCGCCTTTATCACCTTTTGCCTCTTCAATAACAGACTTCTTTTTTCCTTCTTTTGGCCGAGCCTCACAACTGCGGAATCTTGTCTCTAGGTTCTTGATCACATTTTTCACTACCGATTAAGACATGGATCAGGACTTTAGCCAAAAGCAAGGGCTCGTCAAGAGCCCGAAACGAGTGGGACATGTCGTCTTTAAGACCAACCAGTTTCGTGTAATGGTAGACTTCTACGTCAGTTTCTTGGGCTGCATTGTGGCTTTCGAAAACGAGGCACTGTCCATTCTACGCTTCGATGACGAAGACGATCACCATCGCGTTGCGATTGTTGAGCTTCCCGGCTTGAAGACTGCCGAACCGCAAGCAACAGGCTTGGAACATGTCGCCTTCTGTTACTCGACGCTGGCTGATCTTCTGTCTACTTACCAGACGCACAAGGCCAATGGCATTACTCCTTATTGGTGTGTCAACCATGGCCCGACCACTAGTCTTTACTACAAAGATCCAGACGGCAACGGCGTTGAACTTCTTGTAGACAACTTTGACACAATTCGAGAAGCAAACGATTTTATGGCATCTGCTCTCTTCGTAGAGAACCCCATTGGCACCGAGTTTGATCCGGACGATCTTATCAGGAGATCGGAGCAAGGAGAGAGCGAGAGTGCACTGAAGCGAAGGGTCGAGATAGGACCACGGAAAGCGTTTGGATGCTGAAGTGAATGGAACCCAGAAGCATGTAGGCGGATGAGGGTCGCGGGATCACCCAGAGATTCGATTAGACGCACATTAATATTTCGATGCATGCAATAAATCCATTCTGTCCTGGACAACGAGCTAGCTTTTCTATACTTTACTCGACGTACTAATTGAGGCCGTTGTGCGCTTGTTTGCTGTACATACTCACTTCAAAGTTAATTATCGTCTAGATGAGAGGTAAGTATGGAATTTATCTTATGTTGGATGTTGGATGGGAATGGTGACATGTATAGCACTGAAGGAGAAAGAAGACATCTCGAGGAAACTGAGGCGCCAGACGGTGACAGGTGTCGACATGTGTGCCACCAACAACCCCACAAACGGCGTCCCCTGTCGCCGAATGCCGAACTTTTCACTCCACCGCAGCAACCCGCCGCCAAAAAATTTCCAGGCGCTTCCTCCAAAGGCCCGTCTGAATATCTTTTTTTTTTCCCTCTGTCTTTCTGAGATCCTCCGCGGCGTAGTGACAGAGCTTGACGCAAACTCGACGACGACAATGGCGACTCCCACGAAGCCTCCCGCAAAGGGATCAGGGAAGAAGCAGCAGCCCAAGGTCCTCAAAAGAGACTCACGCCTCGAGAAGAGAAAGCAGCAGCAGCAAACAATCGAGCAGCTCGAGAAGGCCGTGGCCGACTTTGTAAGTATCTTTTGCGCGAGCGCACGCCACACACGAGCCCAAGCCTACGATATTGCGAATTTTTGGACCAAGGCTGACCTAGGACCCTGTGTTTACACGATCAATAGGACCCCAAGAGCGAATACACCAGCTTCTCCGAACTTCCCCTCTGCGAAACGACCCGAAAGGGCCTCGAGAAATCACACTTCGAGACCCTCACCGATATCCAGTCTCGCGCCGTACCCCTCGCCCTCAAAGGAAGCGACATCCTCGGCGCCGCCAAGACGGGCAGTGGCAAGACCCTCGCCTTCATTATACCCGTCCTCGAGAAGCTCTACCGTGCGCAATGGACAGAGTTCGACGGCCTCGGCGCCCTCATCATCTCCCCGACCCGCGAGCTCGCCGCCCAGATCTTTGAGGTCCTCCGCAAGGTCGGCCGCTACCACAACTTTTCCGCCGGTCTTGTCATTGGAGGCAAGAGTTTGAAGGAGGAGGCTGAGCGTCTGTCAAAGATGAACATCCTCGTCTGCACGCCCGGTCGCATGTTGCAGCACCTCGACCAGACGGCCGGTTTCGACGTCGATAACCTCCAGATCCTCGTGCTCGACGAGGCGGATCGCATCATGGACATGGGCTTCCAACACGCCGTCGACGCCTTGGTGGACCACCTCCCTTCTACGAGACAGACCCTCCTCTTCAGCGCGACGCAGAGCAAAAAGATCTCCGACCTCGCGCGCCTGAGTCTCAAGGACCCCGAATACGTCTCCGTTCACGAGGAATCCACGCCCAAGAACCTGCAGCAGCACTACATCGTCACTCCCCTACACGAGAAGCTCGACACCCTCTTCGGCTTCATCAAGGCCAACCTCAAGAGCAAAATCATCGTCTTCTTCTCCTCAGGCAAGCAGGTTCGCTTCGCCTACGAAGGCATGCGGCACCTCCAGCCGGGTGTGCCCCTCCTCCACCTCCTCGGCAAGCAAAAGCAGCTCCAGCGCATGGAAATCACAAAGCGCTTCGCCGACGCAAACGCATCCGTCCTCTTCGCCACCGACGTCGTCGCCCGCGGCGTAGACTTCCCAGCCGTCGACTGGGTCGTCCAGGTCGACTGCCCCGAAGACGTCGACACATACATCCACCGCGTCGGTCGTACCGCCCGGTACGAGCGCGACGGCAAAGCCGTCCTCTTCCTCGAGCCCAGCGAGGAGGCCGGCATGCTCAAGCGCCTTGAGCTCAAGAAGGTACCCATCAACAAAATCACCGTCAAGGAGAGCAAGAAGAAGAGCATCAAGGACCAGCTCCAGAGCATGTGCTTCTCCAACCCGGACCTCAAGTACCTCGGCCAAAAGGCCTTCATCAGCTACGTCCGCTCCATCTACCTGCAAAAGGACAAGGAGGTCTTCAAGTTCAACAAACTCGACCTCGACGCCTACGCCGCGAGTCTCGGCCTCCCCGGTGCGCCGCAGATCAAGATGCGCAAGGGCGAGGACATCAAAAAGGTCAAGAACGCGCCCCGCAAGGGCATGTCCTCGGACGAAGACGAGGAGGACTCGGACGACGCGGCGGCGGCGGGACCCAAGAAGCCCAAGAAGCCCGAGGTCAGGACAAAGTACGACCGCATGTTCGAGCGCACGAACCAGGACGTCCTCTCAGGCCACTACACCAAGCTCGTAGCCAACGGCGACGAAGTCACCGGCGACACAACCGACCCCGCCGCAGCAGCACCCGCCGGCGCAGACGGCGAAGAAGAAGAAGACTTCCTCTCCGTAAAACGCGTCCTCAACGACTCCGAGCTCGACGCCGAATCCAACCTCGCGCCCGGCGCCAAACCAAAGGTGATATCCTACGGCGGCCAAGACTTCATCGTCGACTCCAAGCGCCGCGAAAAGGCCCTCCAGTCCAAGAAGAAGATGCTCAAGTTCAAAGGCCGCGGCGAGAAGCTCGTCTTTGACGAGGACGGCAACGCGCACCAAATCTACGAGCTGCAAAACGAAGACGACTTCGAAAAGGAGGGGCCCGCGGAGGCCCTCCGGCAAAAGTTCGTCGAGGGCGAGGCGGCGCGCGTCAAGGAGGCCGACGTGGATGATAAGCTTGCCGCCAAGGGACGGCTCAAGGAGAAGAGGCTTAAGAGGAAGCAGAGGGAGGCCGAGGAGCGCGGGGAGGGTGTGCCGAAGAGCGCTGAGGGACCGCAGGTCGCCGGTGGTGACGACGGGGATGAAGATCCGTTGGCGCTGTTGCGGTCGTTGCCGATTGCGGGTGAGGGCGGCGGCGAGTACAGCGGTAGCGAAGACGAGAGGCCGAAGAAGAAGACGAAGAAGTGGTTTCAGGATGACTCTGATGAGGAGAGGGAGAAGAAGAAGAAGGCCAAGAAGGGCGGCAAGGTGCTCGAGATTGACCACGAGCCCGAGACGTTGGAGGACCTCGAGGCATTGGCTTCGGGCTTGTTGAACTAAAACGATATATACCCCGTTGAGAGGATTTGAATCAAAAGGAGAAAAAAGTTAGCCTGCCACAATAGAAGCACTTGATCATGTACAAGATCATTCATCAGGAGCAGGAGAATGCTTTGAATACGTTATGCGTTAAATACTCTCTTTGCCTAAGGACTGCATCAAAAAGAAGTCCACGGGGTATCGTCAACCCCCAACGCCAGGTGCCTTTTCAATCCCTCGTTCCCTGAATGCTTGGACAACCTCATGTCTTGCAAAAAAAAAGCCATTCCTAAGCCAGTGCGTCCCACTCAAATGAAGCGAGGCCCAGTCGAATCAACGCCGGAGACGCAACGACTGAAAGGCGCTATCTATCTCTCCGCTCCTTTGTCCCAATCTCTCCTCAAGCCTCGTTCTCCACGCCATAGAGTCGCACTCTGTACAAGCACGTGTGGTCAGAACCGTAGTTGCTGGTCACGTGAAGCGCGATTTGATCCGTGTAGGCCCCCAAAGCAAGTAGCTCCGAACTGAGCTTATGTACGTATGCTCCGTTGAGCGTGTCGC